GACAACAACAACAACAACAACAACAACAACAACAACAACAACAACAACAACAACAACAACAACAACAACAACAACAACAACAACAACAACAACAACAACAACAACAACAACAACAAACCTGCTTCACCATCTGCTATAATAATAATAGACTCGAGCTATCTCCGGCTGGTGATTGAGCGGCTGCAGACGGGGGTGGATGTGTTGCACGGCGCTGTCGATGGGTGGGTCGTTCAGTTGAATTAAGTCGATAGATAGCTATCAATTGGATGGGTTCAGATGTTGACGAGATGGTTATAGATATATAGATATGCGTTTATATAGAGAAATAGAGAAAAAAAATGATTATATTTCGTTATCAGTCTGGAGGACGTGATATATATATTCAACAGTACTGACTAATTTACCATCTATATGACCGCGTAGAAGCAACACAATGCTAGCTAGCAGATTGTATACAGTCTAGTCTTGTCTTAACTTTGATAAGATACGTACTGTACAGTACAGTAGAGTACATACAGTACATAATCTCCCTAGTCTATTCTATTCTATTGCTATTGCTATTGCTACCTGCGGAGCACCTCTCGTTTCTGTTTCTTATATGACGATGATGAATTGCATTTATTTATTTCTTTATTCATTTATTTATTTGATACTATTGGTGAGTGTGGAATTAGACTGAAAATGGTTAATTAAAAAAAAAAGATGTAATAATCATCATCAATCTGATATCAATTAATCTACTTCCAACTCAGTAGACAACTAGCTTTTAGGTATCTAAGGAATAATCTAAAAAAAAAAAGAAAAGAAAAGAAAAGAAAACCGTACCTGTTCACTGTTTCCTGCTCGCTAACCTATATATTATACCGATTGTCATTTGCCATTACACAGTGTGGACGTAATGGATAGATAAATAATATATAGATAATTTAATTGCACACACCACACCCGGATATATCCACTCATTCGTAGTTTCTTCTTCCTAGAAGAAACTGAATAGAATAGAAACAGAAACAGACACAATACAAGACGAGACGAGACGAGACGAAAGAAAGACTTCAAAGTCAGCCAGTCATGTCATGTCGAACAATCCTCCCCAGCCAGAAAAAAAATATAAAAATAGAGAAATTTTATCTACTCCATCATCTGTACTTATTGCCTCGGCTCCGTAACTACCCCCTCATACTCCCTCGACCGAATATACTCGAGCGTCCGCTCAAAATGCCGTCGGGGGTTCTCCAAACTCGGGTTTGCTTCCCCCTCATCCGTCTGCAGGTTCGAGTGGATCAGCTCGATCAGCCCGTTCAGATACTTGGTCGTCACCGTCTCGTTCTGCTGGTCAAAGTAGTACACGTAGCGGTTCAGGATCTCCACGAATAGCTCCACCGAGACTGCCGTGTCCATGCAGGCGTCGGCGACGCGCAGTGCGCGCTGGAGGCATTCGAGTACNCGCTTGCCGTCGCGGTACAGCT